GGCCCACACCATGGGCACCACTTGTTCGAAATTCAGACTCCCAGACCCGCGGAGTCACTGGGAATTTTAGCCACATTAGCATGCACATTAAAGTTTGAGAAGCACAATCTACATCCACGGAGAAAAGGAATGGAATGTTTGATTGGATAAGATTTTACTCTTCTCTCTGGGCCCATGCGCATGTGCAAGGGGAAACTGCTGGAGAAGTGCAGAAGCCCCAGTGGGAACAGGCAAACCCAGGGAGGCAGGAAGCAGACTAGGGGTTTCTTTTCAGGGTGATGGAAATGCTCTCAAATTGATTGTGGTGTTGGCCGCACAACTCTGTAAATGTACTAAAAACCAATGAAATTGGTGAATTGCATGGTACGTGAAGTATATCTCAATAAAACTTAAAAATATAAGTAAAAGCACTCAGGAGCCTTGGAAACACCAAATTGGTAACTTCTGAGTTCGACTGCAAAAGAGACACCCATGGAACCAGATCGTGAAGGGTAGCTCCACTAGGAGACTGCTCTCTTGTCCCGGCTTGATAAGTTTCTTTCAACACAGAAACACTGAAATGGTCACTGGTCTTAAAATATACCCTCAGACCTAGGCCAACAGGGTCAGTGCCCCGACTCCATGATGTAGACACCTCGTTCTGATCTCCTCCAGCCGTGTGCTTCCACACTAAGCAAGGGAAGATGTGCAGTCTTCTAGAACATTCTCCAGGCACCGCACCTGGGACCCCAGCATTCCCTGTCCAAATGCCCAGCCTGCATCTGGGCCCCACGCAGGTCTCTTCCTCGGGTCTGTCCTCCCTAGTGTGGATGACGGCACCGGTGTGCACCCCTCAGGCTCCAGGGCTGGCCCAGGCACAGGGAAGTCCTTTGCTCAGTCCCCAATAGGTGACAGGCTGGTGACCTGACTTTGCTACTTTCCAGCTGGAACTCTGGGGTGTCTGAGAAATCTAAACTTGAACCTAGCTTTCTGGGTCACATAAGGATATGTATGTCAAGTCAGAAGGTCAAAACATTATACATTTAATGCTTTGTTGCCTTAATGAATAACTTTAAAATACTTTGTCCTATGGAATCTCTGTCTCCGTTTCTGCACTTGCCTTAAAACCCTGCAGTTTTAGACATCGATAATTTTTTTCTTCTAAGTTTGTCAAGCACTGAGTGAATATTTTTGGTCTTCTCCCTAATATGTTATATTTTATAGGTAAATATTAATTACTCGCTAGAGGCCATCCTGTCTTTCCATAACTTCACGCACAATAAATACCAAGGACTTATTTTGGCTCCCAAACAGTATAGAAAGTTTTAGGATAAGAAGCATCTGAAATGTGTTTGCCTTCCTATACCTCATATTTGCCAAACATGTTAGTTAAAAATAAAAAAGGAAAAACCAGGAAGTAAAGAATCTATATATATAAAAGCCTAAGCGACCCTTACCACCGGTCGACTGGTCACTATGATGACGCACTGACCACCAGGGGGCAGATGTTCAATGCAGGAGCTGCCTCCTGGTGGTTAGTGTGCTCCCACAGCCAACCTCCTGCGGTCCCTCCCTTTGGCTGGCCCTGATCCGCCCTGATTGGCCCCGATCACTGGCCAGGCCGAGGGACCCCACCCATGCATGAATTCATGCACTGGGCCTCTAGTAATGAATAAAGGGGCTGCATATTTTACATTAATAACATGTAAGGTTCCGCCTGGGCTACTTTTCTTCCGAAGGAAAATGGAAAAGCGAATCCTCAAGAAAAAAATGGAAGCCTCTGGACACTTAAAAAACAACAACAGTCACCTTAAGTGGAACTTTGGGGAGGAGGGAACTTAGGAGTTGAGCCATGAGAGCTATGCACTGGGCCTCTAGTAATGAATAAAGGGGCTGCATATTTTACATTAATAAGATGTAAGGTTCCCCCTGGGCTACTTTTCTTCTGAAGGAAAATGGAAAAGCGAATCCTCAAGAAAAAAATTGAAGCCTCTGGACACTTAAAAAACAACAGTCACCTTAAGTGGAACTTTGGGGAGGAGGGAACTTAATGAGTTGAGCCATGAGAGCTTAAAGACTCTTCCATGGCTCCTGAAATCTTCATAACTAATCGTTTGGTGACAGAGTGCTATAGGGGCCCAGCTCTTGTCGTCACAACCCGCTTTAAAGGGCTAGAAGGTTGAGAACCACTGGCTTAAAGACTCTTCCATGGCTCCTGGAATCTTCATAACTAATCGTTTGGTGACAGAGTGCTACAGGGGCCCAGCTTTTGTCGTCACAACCCGAAATTTGAGCAGAAGCTACCTTACTTCATGCCCTCCAAAATACTGCGCTGTGGGGATCACTTTCATTCCTGTGAGCTGTGAAGCAGAGGCCGAGTGCAGAACTTTCCTTTGCCCTCCTGTGAGGGGACTGATGTCACCATGTCTGGTGCCAACCGAGTTGACTCCCACTCAGATATATTTCAGAAGAGGCTCCCAGCCTGATGTCTTCCCCCACCCAATCCCATCATCTGGGTTCCTTGTGGGAATGCGAAGCTTTTTCTTTGTACTGGGGATTAAATTTAAATATAACAATTTGTATAGCACATGCTTCAACATTTCAATCATTTTGGAAACTGGGGCCGTGAGGGAGATGGGGAAAATGATCTCAGATAAGACTGAATTGGTAAGTTGCCACACAGCTGCTCTGCCCAATATGGTAGCCATATGTGGCTATTTACATGTAATTAGATAAAAACGCAGTTCTCAGTTGTACCAGTCGCATTTCCCGTGCTTAACAGGCCCATGTGATTAATGGCTACCAATTTGGATGGTGCAAACAGAGGACAATTCCATCCTCACCAGAAGTTCTACTGCACATGTTCAATTGGGAGAGTTTTCATGTTTTCTCTGTAGTCCTAGGCAAGCCTTCTTTTACTCTCTCTGTTGTTGGCACTATACTATCACTTTTGCAACCCTAAAAGTAGATAGTGATGTACTAGCTACACAGCTTCTCAGTTTTGTAATATACTAAACCCCATCAAATGATGTATTTTAGAAGAATAAACTCTGTAGTACATGAATTATATCTCCATTTAAAAAATAAAGTCTAATTGGTCAAATATCCAGAAATAACTCCATTAATCCACCTTGGCAAGTATCACAGCACAGCCCAAATGACCTTATTCGAATGTAAAGCAGAGAGAACTGAATCATTTTTAACAGCAAACAAAACGAACAGCCTTCACCCTCCAGGGGCTCCTGACAGCACCTAGATTGGGAGGGCCTTTCATAGAGGCCACTTTAAAAGTTTATCACAAAGTAGTGATGTTAGCCCTGGACTCCCCCCTTCCTTTTCCACGTTCTCCTAGTGTCAAGGTTTCCACCTGGCAGAGAGCTGCAGCCCGTGTTGCCTGGGCTTCTTCCCACGAGACAATTTCCCTAAGAGAAAGAAAGAAAATACCAGACATGGGCAACAGGCACAGCGCCCACCCTGAGCTACCCGGGGTGTGTTTTCCCTTGTCTCTTTAAGAGAAACACCAGCAGGTTCTTCTCTCTTTATCTTGAGATTATTGGCAGGTTAGAGAGCAATTTTCCTGATTTGCTTTGGCAAACAAGATGCCAAGTTGTAGAGATCTCATTTCTGGAGGTTCCAAAGGGACTTGCTCATTATGGAGAAAGTGGTCGCCAAATGCAGGCACTCTTTGGAAATAACCAAATGGTCTCTGGCTCCCTAATTAAAAGAGGCAGCAGAGCCCCGTGGTTAAGACTTGGGTTTCAATCCTTGCTCTGCCTCCCACTAGCTGTGAGCCCTGGCTCTATGCCTGTTTCCTCAGCTACAGAAAATAAAATACCTACCTTACGGAGCTGTGAAAAATACACGTGTCAATGGACATGAGGCATTCAGAACCGTGCCTGGCGTAGAGAAAATGCTGAGTAAATGGAAATTGTTGATGATGATAATAATGATACTTGTTCCACCCCATCAGGTCCTACGCAACCACCGCTAGGCAATACGTTTCCACGTGTCCTGCCACCGTGCTCAGTGGACATGAGCATATATTCTTAAATATATGTCTCAGTCTCTTTATTCTTGTCCCTTCCTTCCCTTTCTTTATTTAAAAGAATTTGGTATTTATTTTTCTTTTACTTTTAGTGCCCTTGTAATGCTATCAACCTAAACCCAGAGGCAAAAAGCTGCTAAGAGACTCTGTCAGTGGGAGAGCAGCAAGCATTGGATTCTTCCCCTCAGATAAGAGGAGGGACAACTGTATCTGGAGGTGGCTGTGGGTCAGGGGACAGCCCATGGTATAGCCCAGGGGTCCTCAAACTACAGCCCGCGGGCCACATGCAAATACAAATATTGTATTTGTTCCCTTTTTGTCTTTTTACTTCAAAATAAGATATGTGCAGTGTGCATAGGAATTTGTTCATAGTTTTTTTTTTAAAACTATAGTCCGGCCCTCCAACGGTCTGAGGGACAGTGAACTGGCCCCCTGCTTAAAAAGTTTGAGGACCCCTGGTATAGCCTCTCAGCCCATCAGATGTCTTTCCACAATTTCTAAGTCAGCCACAGACCACGCAGAGGGCTCGGGCTCTTGGGGCTCATCAAAATACATTTTTTACACACTTATTAAACTAAAGAGGTAGCTGGATAGTGCCATGCATGGTCACAGGTGTTTTCTAAATATTCGTATGACTTTCAAAGGATACACCATCAGTGGGGTGAGGACTACATTACTACATTATATATATCTTTTTCGTTTAAGGTCACCCGAAGAAAATACACTAATCATTTAATAGGGTATGTTTCTGCCTTCAAAACATGCCCCAGATGGTTGATTTCATGGATACTCTGAAAATTAATTCTGGAAAGCTGTTTTAGTGGGGAGTTTTGTTCTGTTGAGTCTCTGATTCTAGCTACCCACCTTCTATTTAGCATGGTTTTTATTCATTTGCTACTTCTCACTAAAAGTGAAGAAACTGGAAGGAGTTGAAATTCCAATTGATCAATAAAGAGAACAAGACTGCATGACTCATTTGGTCAAAATACATTTTTTATGTTATGAAGAAAATACACAAAGAGGTTGATATTTATAAATCAATATAAAGTAAACCTCAAATGGTTAGGAAGAAATGAAGAAAGGAAGGAAAAAAGGAAGGAAGGAAGGAAGGAAGGAAGGAAGGAAGGAAGAAAGGAAGAAATGACCTTGTCATCCTATTTATCCAGAGAGAGCTCAGAACTGATTGGAGAAACACTCCCATTAGCTTGAGTTCTAGGACACAGTGGGAAGGCCAGAGAAAAGTAAGGTCTTTATTATATCTTTCTCTTCTAACATGATCACAGCTGGGCACTGCCTCCCCTTCAGGAGTCAGGGGGTAGGGAAGACATGGCATCAGAGGTCCTCTCTTGGTTCTTATGGGGGATGGGGGTCTGCCAGACACATCTTCCCCGACACACCTTTTTAAAAAAGAATGGCACCATCAGTAAGCAACTTGATTTCCATTGAGTCATCATGGAACGTAGCTAAAATTGAAATCTTCCTGCCTGCCTGTGATGACAATTGTTTTATCCCCAGCTATGCTCAGTTGATTTCCAATAATGCTGTGTGTAGAAATGGCAGCCTATGCCAGGCTGGTATGGCTCAGTGGTTGAGCATTGACCTATGAACCAAGAGGTCACTGGTTCAATTCTAGGTCAAGGCACATGCCTGGATTGCAGGCTTGACCCCAGTAGGGGCCATGCAGGAGGCAGATCATTGATGATGTTTCTCTCTTATCGATGTTTCTATCTCTCTACCCCTCTCCCTTCTTCTCTCTCTAAAAAATCCTATATAATAAAGATGTAATATGCAAATGGTCATTACATAATGACCGAATCCCGGATCAGCAGGAGGGTGGGGCAGAGAGCTACAAGTGGGAGCTACAGGATGGGGCAGGGCTATTAGGGGGGGTGGGCAGGTTGGGGAGCTACAGGAGGTCAGGGCAGCAAGCTACTGGCGCACGGATTCGTGCCCAGGGCTACTAATAAATAAATAAAATCATATTAAAAAAAAGAAACTGGCCTTAACCAGTTTGGCTCAGTGGATAGAGCATTGGCCTGCGGACTGCAAAGTCCCAGGTTCAATTCTGGTCAAGGGCATGTACCTTGCCAGGAGGAGGTGTGCAGGAGGCAGCTGATCGACGTTTCTCTCTCATTGATGTTTCTAACTCTCTATCCCTCTCCTTTCTCTGTAAAAAATCAATAAATATATTTAAAAAATAAAAAAATGACTGCTTTAAAAGAAAGAAAGAAAGAAAGAAACTGGCAGCCTGTAACAATGGGAAAGAGGAAAAGAGAAAGAAGAGAAAGGTCATCTCTTCAAGAAGTTTCCACAGATGACTGTACTATTAGGAGAGCTTCGACGATCTCAAAGCCACTAATCCTGGGAAGGACAGACTCTCTATGCTGCCTGGATGCTACAGGTGATCGCTGATGTCACCTCCACCTGCCAGGCATGGTTTGCTAAGAAATAATACAAGGCTGTATGTGGAGCAATACCTTGGTAAGTGAGTCCTCTCAGTCCCAGAGGAGGCAAAATGTTCAATGCTGCAGGAGAAAACACCACTGACATTTTATATTCTTATTTTTTTTAAGTGGGTGAAAGGTTACTTTTAGATTGAAGTCTATGAAATTGACAATATTTGATCATTTTGCTCTACAAAATAGTAATTTATTATGGTTCAATGCATGAACACAGAGGTTCTCATTTATTTTTTTATTGAAGTAAAATTGACGTACATTATATTAGTTTCAGCTGTACAACATGATGATTCAACATTTGTATACACTGGGACAGAGTGGAATTCTGCTGCCCCAAGTCTGTGTTTGAACTTGGCCCTTGACCACAGGGCCAACGTGACCTGGCCGAGCAGTCACAGAAGAGCGCCCTGCACACTGAATTAAGACCCACAATCATACACTCACTTTGGCCCACATGCAACTTGCTTTTTAAAAATTAGTTGCCAGAATTTTCAAACTCCCCAAATTTCATACCCTCTTTTGAGAATCAAAGTCTGGCAATAGTGCACGTTCCCACAGGCCTTGTGGCAAGAATGGGCTCATTCTCAGAAAGGGCTGCCTTCTTTAGGACAAGCCATGCATTCTCCATTGCCATCCAAGCCTTCAATGTGACCACAGTTGCCTTTTCCCTGGCCCAGGTGAGCTTTTCAGTCCAAGGTTAACTAAGCCAGGTCATGGTTCATGTGTCCTCACCCAGAGTGTCAAGGCCTGCCATCAATGTGTCAGAAAACTGGACGGGTTAACCAGGAATCCACTTCCCCTCTCTCTACACCAGCCTCCTCCCTCCTCATCTTTCCAGAGAAGGCTCATTTGGTGAGGGCACCATATGGGTAGAATGGGGAAGAGACCAGGCAGAGGGCGCAGCTGGGAGGCAGCCCCTGCAGTCATCGCACAAACAGGACCACGCTGGCAAAATCCCCACAAACGGAAATTCTACAACCCCTCTCTCTAATCCAGTCCTAATGTTCAGCAACCTTCACTGTCAGGAAATCCTACCCTAAATAACCCAAATCCTTCACGCAGCTTAAACCCATTTCCTCTTACTCTCTGCTCACTGGAGATGGGGAACAGCTGGTCACCGTTCTCTGTACCAAGTTCTTTGTCAACTGGATGATTGGATTCTGGCTCTGGACCACTGTCATAATTAGGAGTCTGACCAGTTCCATATTGTGCCGTCTGCAAAAGCATGTCGAATAGGAAGATAAAATTGTGAGCATGCTGTGCTTCAGAAATGTGCCATCAGGGGAACGCGATCCTTCACCATGCCACCAGGCTGTTCCCAGTTTAGAAATGTAAACGGGAGTTTTCTATGTGGAAAAAAAAATGTTTTTCTGAGGCGAGCTCTGCCACATGCGCAAAATACCCAACAATGCAAAGGTTCTATTAAGGCCAACAGGAGAAACAATATGCAGAGTGAGCACTGATTAAGCGCTTCTGTGCTTCCATGACAGGCATCGTCTCAGATGCAATTCTCAACAAGGCACTAAGGTGGGTATTAGGATTTTTCTTGCTTTGCAGGTGGGGAAATGGAGCCGCACAGAACTTACTTGTCCAAGTTTACACACCAGTGAGGACGTGTTTAAACCCAAGCAGTTGGAGTCCAGAGCCTCTGATCTCTCAACCACTCCTCCATTCTGCACATAAACCTGGTGCTGTGAGTCTGGGCAGCTCACCGCCTTGAATATAATCCCTTTGTGGCCAGTGGAGACCAAGAAGTCATGGCCATACTCAGGTGCTGTGTTCCTGACAAAGCACAAAGGAAGTCTATAGCCTAAAATTTCAAATAAGCTTTATGCCACCAAGCTTGAATTCTTCTCATATACAGAGTTCTATGTGAGACCCGGGATCTCCACTTAGATGTGGACAGTACGTAGCCCCCCAGTTCCCAGCTGGATGCCTGTTCCCATGTATGTGCTCCGGTCTGACCTGGATCAGAGACCAGGTCCCACCACATACCACCTGGTCACGTCCTGCCTGCCTCCGTGTCCCCAGCAGTAGCGTGGTGATGACAGCTGCTTCCTGGTGGTGTGGGAGGCACATCTCTCCTCTCACTAGCCCCTTGTCCAGCCATGTCTCCTCACTGCATTTAGTTCTAACTATTATCATTGTTTTGCCTCTTTCACTAGCCGATAAGCCAGTGGTTCTCAACCTTCCTAATGCCGCGACCCTTTAATACAGTTCCTCATGTTGTGGTGACCCCCAACCATAAAATTATTTTCGTTGCTACTTCATAACTGTAATTTTGCTACTGTTATGAATCATAATGTAAATATCTGATATGCAGGATGTATTTTCATTGTTACAAATTGAACATAATTAAAGCATAGTGATTAATCACAAAAACAATATGTAATTATATATGTGTTTTCCGATGGTCTTAGGCAACCCCTGTGAAAGGGTCGTTTGACCCCCCAAAGGGGTCGTGACCCACAGGTTGAGAACCACTGCTATAAGCTCAACAGTGAAGAGGCTTTGCTTGTTTGATTCACCTGTACCTCCGGTGCCCTGCACACCGTAGGCACTCATAATATTTGGAGAATGACTAAGTTATCATTAGAAGAATTAAATAAAGCCACCCATGTAAAATGTAATAAAGATTATTTCTACCCACTTCTCATAGTTTTCTCCTTGAAATCTGTTCTTATCTATCTAATTTATCAACCCTCTATGGTTATGCAATGGCCACTCCATCTTCTACTGTGCAACCTTGGTGTGGACACCAAGGTTCCTTGCTGACCAAGCAATACCTCCCGAAAGTCCCAGAAACGCACTTTCTATGCCACTTCAGAAGGGCTTCTACCCTAAGCTTCGGGCCAATCTTATGCTTTAAATGGAGGCATATCGAATACTCGCATTCCTTCTGCTAGTTGGTGGCAGCATCCAAGAGAAGCTGCTCCCACCATTTCTGAGGGGGTCCTGAGAGTTTCTACCCTGGGAACCCTAGCTCTTCTCCTTTTCTCTGGTAGTTTCTAGACCAGGAGCAGCAAATTTAAATGCCTACATGGGTCAAACAAGTGACGTAAATGAGCAAAGTCATTGCAGGTGTGAGACAAGAGGGGTGGTGGGGACCGAGGGAGCCTGCTCTGGTTCAAGGGAAAAGAAGATCAGCAGAGATTCTCCTTTTTCGGGTCACTGAATAGTTAAGGCTCTCTTGGGTTGGGGGGTTTGGCCAGGAATTGACAGAAGCCCCAATACCCACATGCTCAAAGCGTTCTCTTATTACTCATACACACAATCTCTTTTCCCATTTTTAAATCCTCTTAACTTACAATGTTTTAGCCTTAAGCATGAAATCTATATGTCATGGGCTATAATAAAAAAATCCCCAAGGATTTTCCCCCCATATGATGTCCACATTTATTGTCTAAAACATGAGAATGTCAGCTGTCCTCATTCTATGTTTGTTAAGTTTCAAACCCTCTTAATGGTTCCATTAGAAAGCAAGGCATAAAAATGCAAATAAGTTTCTTTCAAAATGTTGACTTAGAGTTTTCTTATGGGGAATGAGGGAATCAGAGAAAGGAAGATCTTGTTCAATTAAACTTGATGATCTTTGAGACTTTGTCCCTTCCCCACCTGGGTTATGTTCATGAGTTTACATCTGCCTGCTAGACTGAGGGTTCTTCAAGAACCTGGGAAGCAGCCATACCCATTGTTCAGTGCTCAGAGTCCAATCCAGGTTCTGGCATTTTGTCAGGAGCCCCATATACGTTGGCTAAACATTAACAGTGTTATCTCAGAGCGAGAAACAACACTCTAAAATACACTTTCCATGATTCAGTAAGCTCAGATGACGGGAAGCAGAACCTGGGAAGGCATTTTTCTGGCATATGACTGGATGCCACAAACTATCAGAAGGGAGGAATGCAAAATTTAATATGCAACAATGTAAAGCATAAAATTGGCCCAAATTTTAGGGTGGACACCATGCTGAAGTGGCATAGAAAGCTGATTTGAATTGCCTGTATAGTCTAACACTCCTCCTCCCCCTCCACCCATGCCCCACCACATGATGCATTTCATTCCAGAAAAGACCCATTGGATCAAGACAGCAGCAGGGGCTTTGGCAGGGGCAGGGGCAGGAGCAGCAGCATTGGTGGTGGTGAGCCGGCAGACGCGGCAGTGAAAAGTTATTGTTGGAGGGCTTACCTGATGCTCGACAACATGTGTTCAGCACACCTCCTGACGATCTTACGTAGGTCTCAGAACTCTGTGATTATTTCCCCCGTTTCACAACATGGAAACCGAGGCAAGAGAGCTTATGGATATGCCCAAGGAGACATGGTTTGGGAATATAGGGAGACATGCACTCTCTTAGCCCATTCATTCTGCTGTCTCCTCCAAAGTACAGCCCAAGGGACACACAGACCTTCTGCAGGGGCAGTGTGGCTGTGCCGGACTCCACAACCCACACCAGCTCAGTCAACAACACCAAAACCAATGGGTCCAAAACATAAAAACCCAAAAACAGACTAGACCATACCTGCTCCTGGCATCACGCTGATCTCCCGAGGCTACTGGGAAGAAGAGCAACAGGGAAGACCATCCCTGGTGCTCCTCCTCTCCACACTGCCCTCATGAGTCCTTTCCTTCAGCAATAAAAGAAGCCGAAAGCTTTTAAAAAATGATTCACAGGGCACAGCCAGGTAAACTTTCATTTCAAGATGTTGTACTTCTATTTCAGAAGACAATTGCCATGCTGTTGACATAGTTTCACGTTTAGTATTATGACAATTGTTAGGGGAGAAACTTCTAAAAATGTCCTTTTCCTTTGAAGTGTGGGTGTTTTTTTAAAGGTTACTACCTGCAAATGTGCCAGCTGCTCCTTAGCATTGCACTGTGACTCAATGGGTAGTCAGGGAGTTCAGGTTTGCTCACCTGGCCCCACTCTGACTGATTAACTGGTTATTGCTGGGCTTGTGGTCCAATGCTTCCGAACACTGAGCACTATACACAGTGCCTGCTCTGGTGGCGGAGGAAGTTAAGAGTCCCCTGAGCCCAATCTCTCCAATGTCACTCTGTATTATTAGAGCAGATTCATAAACTGCTGGACACTTCAGAGTTCAAATATGAGCACAGAAATGCAGTGCAAAACGAAACTACTGTTTTTAAAAGCATTTTAAATGTTCAGCCAAATGAAACTAATTTAAACACCCTAGGAATTGGATATTTTATATGTTCAAGGATGTTTACACAATTAAGCACATTTTATGATACTGGTATCTAATATCCATGGACACATGAGGATGAACTGCATAATTAAGTTGTCCAATGTTTTTCTATGCTTACGAAAAATAGCACCCAACCAAGCCAAAAGGCTGGGGAAGGTGGGAGCTGGAAGATACCTTTAAAATACACTAATATGGCCCAGCTGGTGTGGCTCAGTAGTTGAGCATCAACCCATGAACCTGAAGGTCATGGTTTGATTCCTGGTCAGGGCACAATCCTGGGTTTTGGGCTCAATCTCTAGTAGGGGGTGTGCAGGAGGCAGCCAATAGATGATTCTCTTTCATCATTGATGTTTCTATCTCTCTAACCCTCTTCTTTCCTCTCTCTGAAATCAATGAAAACATTAAAAAAATATACTAGTATGAAAAGTCTATTTGATAACATTTTTATAATACCTGCTAGAAGCAGTAATATTATTTTGATTACATCTTGACAAAGACTGAGTATCTGCCATAATGAAAGGTTGGTTCAACAAAGAAAATCTTTTAACTCACCCTTTTATAAGATTAAAGGAGATGGGGGAACCCCCCCACCCCCGTGTGATCCTCTCATTAGATACAGAAAAAGAATTCAATACAATGCAGTCATAATTCATGAGAACATCTCTTAGCAAACAGCTCTAAAAGGGAGGGGGAAACTACATCAAATATAATACTCCATAGTGGAAAATCAAGGGCAAGAATGTTTACTATTACCATTTGTACTCAACTTAATACTGGACAGGTCCTTGTCTGTGCAGTAAGGTAGAAAAAAATAAATCAATGAAAGGTATAGAAATTCAAAAGAAGAAATAAAGTCTTTTTTTCATTGTTTTCATAGCAAACACAAAGAAATTAGACAACTTATTAGAATTAATAAAAGTGTGGCAAGGTTGCCAAATCAACACACAAAAACTCAAATGCATTTAAACACACCAGTAGATACATCATAAGGATGTCAATTATCCCCAAGTTAACCCTGAGATTTAGTACAAC